GCCTTGTGCGTGCTAGGCAAGTGCTCCACCACTCAGCTGCATCACCCGCCCTGATTCGTTTATTTTGAGGCAAGATCTCTTTAAATTACTCAGACTGGCCTCAAACTTGTGGTTCTTCTGGCTGGTCCCACGTAGCTTAGATCATAGGCATGCAACACCTTGCTGGTTTCCCTACCTGTTTTTTTTTTTTGGTACCAGGGATTGAACTCCTCAGGACCTTGTGCTTTCGAGGCAGGTCGTGGAACCACTGAGCTAAATCCCTGGGCCTCCCTACCTGTTTTTGATAGATGAGAAGTTTAACACAATTAGGGTTTTTAGTGAGTTTAGGGTGGAAATCACCCCAGTCTCCTGCTCTTAGTCACTCATTGCCTAAAGTATTAGATATGTTTTTCTAAGAATAACATAAAGATGCATTTGTAAAGAGTATAAGACTAGAATATGAGTATTCATAGAGGTGGCAGGACATTTGGTTGGGAAAAGTTCTCGTGGGACAGCAGTTGCACAGAGAGGGCATCTTCAAGATGGGATAGTGGAACACATTTTTAAAAAGATGGTGTGGTGGGAACTCATTTCAAGGGTGGACGTTCTGTAGATGACGGAAGGAAGGGATGGGGAGATGCCCTGCTGGGTAGGACTTACAGCAGTGGTGTGCTTGGGAGCCATGTGATAGGAGGATGTGCCCAGCCTCCTGCCCTAGAGTTGCCCATGGAGGACAGGAGGGCATCATGGCCGGCCAGAGATGCCATTCTTAGCTAACTTCCTAGGTTTTTTTCTTTGGACTTAGGAAAGGGAGATACTGATTAGAATGAGCTGATAAAAGAAAAACAAAAGGCTCAAAGTCCTTTCCTTAGGCTCTGTCTCCCTGTGTTGTTTCTGAGAACAGAATATCTGCACATGTGCATGCTTTGGAAATGATGGTGCTGCCTTTAACAGATCTTTGATGGTGCCCTCAGCTTTGGCAGAGTACAAGTTACAAATCCTGACTTTGGTTCTTTGGTGCAAAAGTCTAAATTATGAGGGATCCAATGCACAGCTCTAAGCTGTGGCATTCCTGGGGGTGGGTCTGGGGTCAGAGACAACCCAGAGCCTGTGGGCTTCTGGGCAGCCAAGACCTGGGTGTGGGACCAGGCCTCTGAGGAGTCCAGAGGTGGGCAGACATGGAAGCACAAAGGCTACGGTTTAAATACGGAGCAAAAGACTCAAATTTGAGAGCTTGATTCCCAGTGCAGCGGTATTCAGAGGTGGGGCCAGAAAGGTAACTGATGAATTTATGGCTTTATGGCCTGGGGTGTGGGGTCGGGTGGGAGGAAGTAGGCACTGGGGGTGTGCTTTGAAGGCTATATCTTGTCTCCACCCCTCACTGTCTCCCTGCCTTTCCTTTGCTTCCTGGGTCCCATGAGGTGAATAGCTCTTCCATGAGGCCCTGACCACAGCCCAGAGTAATGGAGCCAGGGGACCATAAATCCTCAGAAACCATCAGCCAAAGTAAACCTTTCCTCCTTAAAGTTGTTTTCCTCAGGTATTTTGTCACAGTGATGAAAAGCTGACTGTCCTGGCTGAAGACCCTCTGGGGCCAAGTGTCTGGGAGGTAGTAGCCCCTCAGTCTGGCAGACTCCAGGTCACTCCTTGGGGGCTGCCCAACAAGGAGATCCTGAGAGCACAGGGCCAGCTTCTCAGGAGCTCCTTGTTTTCACCTGAGACCTCGCTCCCTGTGGACTGTCTGTGTTGAGAGTGAACGAAGTGGCAGTGGTTTTTCATTGGCAGCCTGCAGCAGCTGAGTAGTTTCCAGGTCCTGTGAGGGCCTTAGTGAGGAAGCTGTGGAATGTGTGCCTGTCTCCAGGGTGGCCTGAGGCCATGTTGGAGTAATCGTTGCTCTGTGGGCCAGTGTGAGTGTGCGGCCACCTGGAACTCATGGAGACTTATGGGAAATGTCTGCTGAGGACCTCAGTTATGCTTGGGTTCGAGGTCACCTGTTAGGAATGCAGCCACGGGTGATGGCAGTGTCCCGTTCAGCTGAGCTGTGTCTTCAGTGCGACCAACCTAACGTGTGTGCGTCCCACACCCTCATCTTAAAGACTTTCTGCAAAGTTTGCTTGCTTACCTTTGACATTAGGATGTTTGTTATAGGTCAGGAAGCATATAAAAAAGGAAAGCAACATGGCTTTTAAAGTGCTTTTTATTATGGGAGCTGTTACAGTCCAGCAAAGCGGGAAGATGAGTACAGTCTCCAGCCCACAGTCCTCCAGCTGAGGCCCATCTGTCCCATGAACCACCCCCAGGGTATCTTGAGGAACACTTGGACACGCTGTTATCCAGTCCGTATGTGTGAATGTCACGCTGCAGCTCCAGAGGGTGAGGCCTTCTAAAAGACCTGTTGTGCAACCTCAGAAAGAAAGGATCCCCATGGCATCAGTTGCTCACTCTGGGCTGAGTTGGGTGTGGTGACCCACACCTGTATACCTAGCAGTTGGGAGGCTGAGGCAGGAGGGTTGAAATTTCATGCCTAGCCTGGGCAGTGTAGTAGCTGAGTGAGACCCTGTCTCAAAAAAAAAAAAAAGCCACTGTCATGAACATTTCTTTGAGATCCATTTATGCAGTCTCTC